GAATGCAGCCATCAGTGCTTATGCAAACGCCAGTAAGTGGACGAGGGTACTGAATCTGTTGGCCGAGAGTCTCGGAAGACGAGTGAAAGTAAATGAGGCCAGCTTCGGCAGGATGATGAGGGCATGCGGGCAAAATGAACAATGGCAGCAAGCCTTCCTGCTCTTCATGAGCATGGCTGGAGCGGAGGTGGAGCCTGGCAACATAAGTTTCGATGCAGCTGTCCGGGCTTGTGAGCATGCCTGTCGTTGGGCTGGGGCGGTGGAACTCCTGGCTGCAATGCATCTGAGACATGTGCAGCCCAAACAAAGCAGCCTTAGCGCGGCCATCCGGGTGTGCGGTCAAAGTGGGCAGTGGCAGTTGGCGCTCGGGCTCTCCGAAGCAGTGCCCAATGAATCGCTTGCGAGTTCGGCCATGGGTGCCTTCAGGCGCCAGCGCTGGCAATTGGCAGCAAGCCTGCTAGAAGCACTGCCCCCCTCTTCAACACAGCCAGGCGTCATCAGTTTCACTGCCGCCATCAGTGCTGGTGAAGGAGCTGGGGAGTGGCAGAACTCTTACGAGCTTCTGGCCAGAATGCCTCTTAGTAGTCGAGTTTGCAATCTTTAACTTTTTTTTTGGGGGGGGGGGGGGGCGGTAAATTGTAAACGCTTGCGCGCGCCGCCTCGCAGCCGGTGGACAGGAAAGGAGGAAAGCGCAAGGAAGGGCGGAGGGGTCAAAGGGGGGGGGGGGTGGGTGGGGGGGTGGGGGCGGTGGGGGGCGTGGGGGGGGGGGGGGGGGGGTGGGGGGGGGGGGGGGGGGGGTGGGGGGGTGGGGGTGGGGGGGGGGGGGGGTGGGGGTGGGGGGGGGGGGGTTGATAGCCCCTTAGACTCCAAAAAGGTTAACCTTTAGTTGTTTGCCTAGGATACTGCACAACTAAGGCCTGCATCTTCTGTGGAACCCAGCAGTGTCAGCTACGGTTCTTGCATCGATGCCTGTGAGAAACTCGCTCAGGACTACTAGTTGCTTAAGAAACCCCAAAAAATCCAAAAACGATTCTTCCTTATTAAGGGGTAATATAGGGACTGTTTTTTTTTTTATTCTATTGGGGTTCTTTAAGCAAATAGTAGAGGACCTTGGCATTGTGAACTGCATCTCCCCTTATCGGGGATCAAGTGGGCATCTAGTTAAACTACGTTTGTCAGATAGACCCTGAACCCCAAACCCTCAACCCCAAACCCTAAACCCCAAACCCTAAACCCTTAACCCTAAACCCTTAGGCCCTAAGCCCTAAGCCCTAAGCCCTAAGCCCTAAGCCCTAACCCTAAACCCTACCAAAATTGCCAACCAAGGAAGCTAGCCCAGTGGCACAGGGCCATGTCACTCCTGGCTGGGGTGGCCTTGGTGGCCGTGGCGGCCAGTGCCATCGCTTTCAGTGCCGCCATCAGCGCATGTGAAAAGACAGGCCTGTGGTTAAGGGGGTTTAGCGTTTAGGATTTAGGGTTCAGGATTTAGGGTTGAGGGTTAGGAGGGGATTTAGGGTTGAGGGTACTTAAAGTTGAGCGTGTGTTGGTTTCAGGTATTCTGGGCTTTGGGTAGTTTGTTTTCGGGCTCGGGAACTTTTCTATTTTTCGTATTCGTCTATATAAGTGAGTGTCTATCACCGCCGCCATATCCCCAACCCAGGCCCATAGTCTGCGATTTAGGGTTTAGAGTTTAGGGTTTAGGGCTTAGGGCTTAGGGGGATAAACCCTCACCGCTATGAACCATCGAGGTGACCAGTGGCAGTTGTCGGCCCACCTTCTGACAAGTATGCCGGTTGAGAAGCTCCTGCGGGATGAGATGCTCGTCCAATCAGACGCCCCAGCCTGTGGCGGGCGTTGGGGCTTAGGATCAAGGGAGAAAGCGCAGGTGCCCATTTTCCATGGGTCCTTTGAGTGTGAGGTTTCCTTCGGCTGCTGTTTCAACCAAATCCTAACACTTGTTTGGGTTTAGGGGTCCCTTTCCCCCCCCCTCCAGGCAAATACCTTCATGGCCCATGGTCCTAGAATGGTTTAGGGCTCACGGGTTATATAGAGAAAAAATCATGAAGCCAGAGCCTCGGCCCTATGTGGTCGCCTGCCGGATCGCCTGAACCCAAACGAAACCCGAATCAACCATCCTAAAGACTCAGCCAAGGATCAGCTTCAACGCAAGCATCAGTGCATGTGAGAAGAGTGGCTCAGCAACCTTTTGGAGGAGTATGTTCGTCAGTTCGCCTGGAGATCGTGCACTTACCACTGTATATGGTCAACGAAGGAAGCGTTTCCAGGGATCTCCTTCATTCTCCTTCAACCCCAGACCCTAAACCCTTCAAAGCCGGTGCGGTCGATATCTGAGGTGGTCAATGGCAGCAGTCGCTGCAAATCATGGCAGGGATGGTCGAGGCTACTGCTCGGCCCAGTGCCGTCAGCTTCAACGCTGCCATCAGCGCCTGCGAGAAAGGCTAGAGTTCAGGGTCTAAGTCTGTATAAGGTTAGGGTCTATAGATGTCACAGACGTCCATCACCAGACGATTTAGGTCACGCGACCACCGCTCAACCTTGAAATCTTGAACTCTGATCCCTAAGTTCCAAGCCCCCAAGACCCTAAACCCCTAAACCCTAAACCAGGTGGTCGGTGGAAGATGGCAACGCAGCTGCTTGCCGACGCGCTAGTAGCCCGGCTTGGAGGCAGTGAGATTGCGTTCAGCGCGGCCATCACTGCTTGTGAGCGATCTGTCCGCCTGTCGGCCAAAAAGAAGTCAGGCAAGAGGGATGTAGTAGAGTAGGCAACCTTCAGCCTTTTTGGGGGATTTTATTCCCCTTAAAATCCTACTTAGAAGTAGAGTAGGTAAGCCTTAACCTTTTTGGGAGAATCCGAAAGGTTTAACCTTCAGTTTCCCAAGGATACTGGACAAGTAAGCTTAATCCTCGAACTTGGAGTGGGCTTCAGCTCTGTCTGCCCTTTCAAGGGGCAATCGGATTCTCTGTCAGTCTGGCCCTCACTCCAACACCCCAATCTCCCGTTAAGAAGGTATGGCGTCAGCCCTGCTGCCTTCGAAAACTGGTGGTGCCAGCTCTTTAGGGTTTAGGGTTTAGGGCTTAGGGTTTAGGGTTTAGGGTTTAGGGTTTAGGGTTCAGGGTTCAGGGTTTAGGGTTCAGGGGGATGGGTCCCTACTCCGTCCTGTGCTCTTCCAGCGCCAGGAGGAAGGCAGTCGGCGGCAACCCCTCAACTTAAGCCGCTAAGTAAACCAAACCCCTATACAAACCCTTCAAAGCGCATAATCCCTAGCAACCCTGCAAACGCTGTAAAGCCACCCCACAAAAAAAGAGAAAACCGCAGGGGAAACCAGCAACAGCAAGTCCCAAGGCACTTGAACCCGAGTGGACTCCCGACTTCTCCAACCGGTTTAGCGTTTCGGGCTTAGGGTTTGGGATAGAGGGTTTTTTAGGGTATAGGGTTTAGGGCTGGTTTCTATGTAAAAGTTTTTGGGATCAGGGTTTCAGAGGTTTAGGCGTTCGGGGTGAGGTCTCGTGCGCTTTCGGACACTGCCGCTCTCCTGTGCGCGGAGGTGGGAGGACAGCCGCACTTGGCGCGGCACATGCTTGACATGCTGCAGAGGAGCGCCTGGCCGTTCCTGCAGGCCCTGCCAAGGAAACAGAAGGAGCCGAAATCGTGCAGTAGCATTGGTGCTGGGTGCGGGGGGCGGGGTATCATATGCCCCCACGAAACCCTAAATTGCTAAACCTGAGTGGAACCTAGACACCAAACCCCTCACCTCTAAACCCTAAACCCTAAACCGCACACCGGACACAATGGCAAACTGAGCGTAATGCCGAAACCCTGAACTCTAAGGTTGAGGAAGAAGAAGGGGCTTGAACTTCAAGAGGATCCTCTAGGGCTGCTTAGTATAGTTCCCCTTGTTCCACAGTCTCATAGGATTTAGGGTTTAGGGTTTAGGGGTTAGGGGTTAGGGGTTTGGGATCGGGAAGTCAGCGAACAAAATCTTGGGGTTTAGGGTTGAGACTTACCTAGGTTTACTTCTGCTGACGCCGAAGCTGAGCCCTATCATAGACCCTGTCAGCCCCAAACCGTAGACTGTGCAGCCTAAACCCTAACCCCGACAGACCCAGCTTATCCAAAACGGCTTTTGGGCTCAAGCGGGCTACATTGCAAGTCTGGCGGGCCGCGTGAGGCATTTTTCCCCGCAAGCACCCGACCTTTAGCCAGAACCGCAGGCGCAGGGAAGGGGTGTTGAACCTTGAGCTCGAAACCCACCACCCGAAACCCTAACCCCAAACCCCAAACCCTAAACCCTAAGCCCTAAACCCTAAACCCTAAACCCTCCTTCAGGGTTTCGTGGGTTCGGGGAGACTTGGGGGTTGGAGGGCTCTCGGAGTTCAAGAGCTTTGTTTGGACACAGCCTCGGACACCGAATAGTGCCCTTTTGCTTCTCCTGTGAGGTTTAGGGTTTAGGGTTTAGGGTTTAGGGCTTAGGGCTTAGGGCTTAGGGTTTAGGGTTCTAAAGGGTAGTTCTTGTAGCTCCTAGCTTGTTTGGGGACGGCTTGAGAATTGGAGCCTCCATCTCGCTACGTTTCTGAAACACGCCCGAACCACTGCCGAAAGCCTATAAGATTGTTGTTCTAAACCCCCTGCTCTTGACGTAGTACTACAGAGGCGATTTATTCATAAGACCACTCTTGAAAAAGCCTTCCAAGCATGGTGCACGCGCAAGAACGCGCAAGCGCGGGCGCAAGTGCGCACAGGGGGCATATTTACTGTATCTATACAAATACAAAGCCATCTTAAGATGTTATGCAAAAACTCGTGCGCGCAAGAAGTGCGCAAGTGCGCGCATGGGCGGGCGCAAGGGGTGTTTTTTTGTCGCTCATCGGAACAAGAATATCGATCAAATAAGTATTTGGAACCCCCCAAATGACCTTGGGCCCTATAGCCATCTACAGAAGCAATCGGGTTGGTTTGCAGGTGGCACCTTCTTGACATCATGTGTGTCGAATCGGCCATGAACACTGACATCGCCACTTGGCGACAGCTTCGGGTCTCCTAAGACCGAAAGCCCTTTTGATGTTTGGAGCCTTCCTTGTTGCTCAGCACCTTCACCCTTCACTTCACTTCGTACCTTCAACTATGTAGGGGTTGTTTGTTCTCACGTAACTCGGGAATAAAGGGCAGGAAGGTCTCATGAGAACCTAAGCCGTGAGTCGAAGAGCCCAAGTTGCAACTTGATGAGACCGGCCTTCTTCCCATATAAACGCCGAACCCTAAACTCAAGCTCAGGACTGCAGGAGGGAGGGAGGGAGGGAGGGTGAGTAAGTGAGTGAGAGAGAGAGAGAGAGAGAGAGAGAGAGCGAGAGAGAGAGAGAGAGAGAGATGCTGGAGCACGCTCCTGGGGGCGACTCCCTCTGGAGGGTCACAGGAAGGAAAGGAAGAGAGGGCCCATCCTCGGCAGGGTATGGGTTCTGGGCCTAGGGGTTTAGAATTCTAGGGTTATCGCCTAAAAACCCTCAATCCCGCAACCCTACACCTCTTAAGACTTGTCAACCCCTCAAGGCCCTCAAGCCCCCAAGCCCCTCAAGCCTCAAACGCTAGGACCTAAACGTCTGACCGAGGCGCTCTTCGTCTACGGAACCTTGAAGCGCGGTTTTGCGAACTACTCCAGGCTGGCAGGATCACGGTTTGCAGTGTTTCGGGCTGAGGCCTCAGGGTGTAGGGCTTTGACCGGCTTCTTGAGTTTTGCCCTCAGGCGACGTGCTCTTGCCTACAATTACAAGCTCAAAGAGTCCTCAGAGCCTAAGTCTCGGCACCAGTGGGTGCCCTTTTGCCCTTTGTGGTCTTCGGGCTCCGTTTACAAGAGTGCCTGAAACCTACAAGGGGTATCTTTCTTGGTTGCTGGAGTACCAAGGTAGGGTACCCTAAACCCTATAAACCAAAAACCGTTCAGGTATTTGGGCGTTGCGGAGTCCAACACGAAGGCCTCCACCGACTCACCTCTGCTTTTCTGTCTGCTACTGAAGGTTGTGGGGCTTTAGGCGGCTTAGGGGGTTTAATTAGCTGAGTTTAGAAGGCTGATGTTGGCTTAGGGTTTAGGGGGTGACAGGTTTTGGGGCTTCAGGTTCAGGTTTTTGGGGCATATAGGCTTTAGGGGCTGCGGGGCTGTGGGTGCTTGTGGCGAGTCGTGACACCTAAGCCCGAAAGCCTTTTCCCATGCCCTAAAATGCAAGCATTCACTTCAAAAGGGATCCCCTCAAGTGCACTGGGAAGGACTGGCAAAGACCATCCGCACACGTGTGCGGGCGCTAAGAAAACTTAGCTAGGACATCTGGGTCTTGGCTGCAACAAGGAGCGAGTTAGTTCATGATCACCGCTTCCTGGACTTGACAACTTCATTGCATATACTCTTTTCGAGCGGCAGAAACCTGGTTGGGCCGAGTTGCTTCAACGCACGGCCTAGCCAGCTCTTAAGCTGGGTTTTTTGTCGCATGATTTGGGTCATCATCTCTAGTCCCATGAGTCAGCGAAGAACCTCCGCCGGCTGAAGCTCTTGTGCGATACAACATGCTCGATGACGACATTGTGGATGTACCGGTAGCTGCTTGTGCTTGGCCCGCCTGGCCCCTCGTGGGGCTGGTATGGGTCAGGCTTGTTGACAGCCAGCAACCACCAAGTGACGGAGTTTGGCCCCAACACCACACAGTTCAGGTCACAAAGAAAGGACCCAAGAAACCAGACGCAGACAAGCTTTCAGTTCCGTGGTTTAAATTGCCATGACTCTACCACTGCTTGCTTAAGAGCCCCCCAAAAATTGTTTGACTTCGAACATCCCCACCCGCTCTTGGTAGAGAGACTCTGGGCTTGGGCACTCCAGGGACACGGGGCTGGGCACCCCGGGGAGACTCTGGGACTTTGGTGTTGGGCACTGCAGGAACGCTGGGGTTGGGCACTCCAGGCAAACTCTGGGGGTTGGGCACTCCAGGGAGACTCTGTGGGGTTGGGCACTCCAGAGAGACTCTGGGGTTGGGCACTCCAGGGACACTCTAGAGTTGGGCACTCCAGGGACACTTTGGGTTGTGCACTCCAGGGATGAGCGAGGAGTAGACCGGGCGAGGAGAAGAGTTGAGTTTAAAATCTAACAACCCCACACCGAGGGTGGGGAATAAATATTATTCCTTATAAGGGTACTATAGGGATTATCATTTGTTATTCTTTAAGCAAAGAGCAGTCTATGGGTGTTCCCCCTAGCCTTGAAGTAACAAGGCAACCAGCAATGTGCAACCTCTGACCTGATGAAGCTCGTGGGAGGTTCGAAGCAGTTTCCCTAAGCCCCCATAGCCTAAACCCTGAACAATCTAAACATCCCTAAAACTTACAGGGTTTAGGGTTTAGGGTTTAGGGTTTAGGGTTCAGGGCTTACTCCAAGCATGGAGGCGGCCTATGTCGCCGATGGCCAGACACTGGAGCGCTTCCCAATGGTGGTCGCGGCCTTGATCTTGTTGAGACGTGAGGTTTTAGGGTTTAGGGTTTAGGGTTTAGGGTTCAGGGTTCAGGGTTCAGGGTTTAGGGTTTAGGGTGTAGGGTTTAGGGCCTTAACGCAGTAGGCTCTTTGGACTTTTTTCCATCTGGGGTTCAAGCGGAAGATCTTTCCAAGGATGAAAAGCCCATCTGTCAATGAAGAACCCCAGACCTACAGTCAGGTGAGTAGGGTGTAGGGTTGAAGGTTGTGGGCTCCTGTACTACAAAAGACATAATCCGTGAAACCCAGAAGTGTGGTGAATCTCCATGTTTAGAGTTTAGACCCAATAAAAGGGGATTGACGGTGCAAGGTTCAACCTATCTGGCTGTTATAGGGAGGGTTGCGAGTGTGAACTGGAACTGGGCAACCGCGGTATAGGCGTCGTCCCTGAAGCCCTACTCCAAACTCCAGAGACCCGAAACCCTGAAGCCCATAAGCCCGGAACCCATAAACCGATATTCCACACTTTAAGCCACAAGTCCAGGACTTGCACTCCCGCCACTATGTTTGGGTCGCTATAGGGGAAGCTCGCATAGAGCCTGAATGGCCTGAAGCTTCAACCAAACCCTGAACCCCAAACCCCTTAACCTTGGGATGTTCCCCCTTATACCCCCCCCCCCCCACTAAGTCACTATAATCCCAATTAAGGACTGTTAGTACAAGGGCGAACATCCCAACCTAAACCCTAACCCTGGACCCTGAACCCTGAACCCCAAGCCCCCGAACCTCTAAAACACACCCTGACCTGAGCTTGACACCCGAGGTACGCCCGCCCAATGCAGCCACAAACAGCTCCGGAGCCCCCCAACTCCTGGACGAGGTGCAGGGACCCGCCGTTCTTGGGAGTTGGGTTTAGGGTTTATAGGGTTTAGGGTTTAGGGATTTAGGGTTTAGGGTTTAGGGTTTTTTTAGGGTTTAAGGTTTAGGGTTTAGGGATCAGAGTTGTTTAGGCTAAACGGTTCGGGTTCAGGGAATGGTGTCAGGGAAGACGGTCTAGGTATAGGAGCTTTCGGTTCAGGAAATAGGGTCTATATAGGGTTAAGAGTTTATAGGGGTCATGGGTACCTTCTGTTGGTCTGTCCCCTCTGTCCAAATGGTCCTGATGTTGAACAGAACAAACCTGCCCTGAACCCCAAAACTGCAAAACCCTAACCTGAAACGCTATACCTGAAACAGGCTTAAGCCCGAGCTTCAAAACTCTGATTTTGGGGCTTAGAGGGTCTGGGGGCTAATAGGCCATGCCATATGCAAGGTTTCTTTTTTTGGCCATTCCCTACAAAGGGGTCTCCCCAAGATGCCACAAAGTAGTAAGGAGTTTTGGGGGGATCGCACTTAGTGGAGTGAGGCTTTGGGTGTTTAGGGTTTAGGGGCTTTATGGCTTTGGGTTTAGAAGTTTCATAGAGTTATAGGGCTTATGGGGTGTAAGGTTGATGGTCTAGGGTTCGTGTTTACTCCTCGTGGCGCAGGCTGGCAACGGCACTCGCGTCAAAGGTGAGGCGAGGCAATGGTTGAGCTTCCAGAACCCTAAACCCTGAACCCTAAACCCCTAAACCCCTAAACCCCTAAACCCCTAAACCCCTAAACCCCTAAACCCCTAAAGCCCTAAAGCCCTAAACCCCTAAACCCCTAAACCCCTAAACCCTAAACCCTAGTCGCGGACTTCTCCAGACCTATGCATGCCGAACTCTCTCGACTCGACAGCCTAAAGGGGGGCTTTGGACCTTCTAAGGGAAGATCCCTAAACCCTAAACCCTAAACCCTAAACCCTAAACCCTAAACCCTAAACCCTAAACCCTAAACCCTTTACAGGGTTCTGACGTATGGGCCCTCGGTTTTTATAGGGTTTGTAAGGGGTATATAAGGGGTCCCCCTTTGGGGGCCTAGCCTAAGGGACCATGTACATACAACGAGGGGCCCCCCTAGTTATAAGCAGAGTTGTAAGATCCCTAAATTGGGTTATAAGGATCCTAAATTAGGTTATAAGCCCCTTAACTACAGCTAGCATAGTAAGGGGGCCCCTCCTTGTACCCTAATTTATAGTTCAGGGTCAGCCCCTGAAGCCCGAACAACCCCGGCGCAGGTCTACATGATCGACGATGACACGCTCCAGGCTGCCCAAGCCAACATCCTTAACCCCTCTTCAAGGTCCCGATCCCTAAACCCTAAGCCCTAAGCCCTAAACCCTAAACCCCAAACCCTAAACCCTAAACCCTATGCCTGGAAGTGCAGGCAATGGACCTCTTGGAGGGAGTGCACCGTGGCCGGTACCGAAGGCGCGGGTCCCTAAATGAGGTTCGACCTCCGAGTTTTGGTCGGCGTGTTACTTTTTAGGGGCTTTAGGGTTTAGGGTTTTAGGGTTTACGGTGGGGGCTTGGGGTTTAGGGTTCAGGGTTTTTGGGGCTTAGGGTTTAGGCGCTTGGGTTTTTTTAGGATTCAGGGCCTCAGAGTTGAGGGCTTTGGGGTTTAGGGTGTGGGGTTTCGGGGCCGTCCCTAAACCCTAAACCCTAAACCCTAAACCCTAAACCCTAAACCCTGGGTGTGGAGGCCCATAGTGCCAGAATAGGTTGCCCAAAACCCTATAAACCCTAAACCCTAGATAGAGAACCGACCTTGCATGCGGCCGCCCCAGGCAGACCGTGCAGGTCCAAGTCCAGATGGAGAATGGTGATTTTCGGCGGCCTGGCTTCAGGTTTAGGGTTTAGGGTTTAGGGTTTAGGGTTCGGGTTTCGGGGTTAGGGTTTAGGGTTTAGGGTTTAGGGTTTAGGGTTTAGGGTTTAGGGTTTAGGGTGACGAACTCGACCTCGGACCGCGAACCCCGTGAAAATCGAAGGCCGTAGGCCTTGCATCCTTAGGGTGACGAGATCTTGTGTAACCCGAAACACTAGACCCAACACCCCAAGCCCTAAACCCCAATGCGAGGTTTTCGGGGCTTCGGTGACAGGAGGTCCTGTGAGTCATCGGTCGGAAGCTGCTGAGCAAAGGAACATGCTGCAAATTCCTACTGGAAATCACGAATACAGACGTCAAAGAACGTCTCTTAAGGGGTATAAGGAGGGACCCCTAGAAGGGACCCTCAATCTCATTGCCCTATATAACCCCATATATATATATATATATATATTTATTTATTTATTTATTTATGCACCATATACCTAGGTAGCCCCTGCATCACCCCTAAAGAACCCTTAAGGTCCCTTACAAGGGTGCCCTGTGAGCCTCTCAAGTATGTGACTGGCAGCCCATGCTCGAAGGTAGCATTCAGGCCTTCCTTAGGGTTTAGGGTTTAGGGTTTAGGGTTTAGGGTTTAGGGTTTAGGGTTTAGGGTTTAGGGTTTAGGGTTTAGGGGTTAGGGGTTTGGGGTTTAGGGTTTAGGGTTTAGGGTTCAGAGTCGAATAAATCCTCCCTGATGGTTGCCTCCTTGGAGTATCGTAAGGCACATGGAGTGTGCAACCTACTTCTTCATCGCGGAGGATCCAAAGCATTTCGTTTGAGTTCTTTTTCTTGGAGGGGGGGGGGGAGGGTCCTATGGCATCCTGTACCGTACTACTTCAGAATCTAAACCCTAAACCCGACAGACTGCGCGAATCCTAAATGTCCTGCACTCAGGGCCCAGTTGAGACTAAGCTCAACACCCCAGCCACGATCCTCAAGCCCGAAAACACACCCCTGAACCCGACAAGAGGGTTCAGGGTTCAGGGTACGTACCCTGAACCCCTGTATCCCTACAACCCCCGAACTCCGGCCTCCTAAACCCCCAAACCGAAGCCCTCAACATTGAAAACGCAGCGGAAGTGTTTCGGTCCGGAGAGTGCCCTGAGAGGATCCGACTCTGAAGACGCTGCCGCGCGTAGAGTCGTGACCTCAAGCATGTAGGGTTTGAGGCCTCTGGCTTAGGTGGGATAGGGGGCGGGCTTTTAGGGCTATTTTAGGGGTTGGACAGGGAGTTGGCGGGTCGAGGGTTTTAGGGTATGCAGGGCTGTGTTGCAACCTCATCCTGTACCCTACGCCCGCAAACCCTAAATCCCAAACGATGTTTAGAATTTAGGGTGAGCCCGTTGGAACCCAACAGTTCAACCCTATACTGGTTTCAATCCCAAGGTTTAGGGTTTAGGGTTTAGGGTTTAGGGTTTAGGGTTAACAATATCCCTCTGGCAAACAACCCCCTCAAGCCTTGAGCCCGAAGCCACCTTAAGGTCCTCAGATCTCAGTGCCAGTTTGTATGGGTGGTTGTCAAATTTGTGATCCCTTTTCGGGGTGCCCTAAATATTAGGTGCAGCATTCTAATGGGGATGCAAAAAAGAGACCATCATTCTGAAACTTAAAGGCTCTAAACCCTGAGCACCAAACCCTAAGCCCTAGACCTTGAGCGTCGGGGCCCCAAGCCTCTTGGGTTTAGGGTTTAGGGTTAAAGTTGTCCTTCCCATCGTGCGCCGATGCGGGGACGAGGCTCAAGTCTGTGTGGCCCCAGCGTGTTGATGGTTTACGGCTAGGAGATTTCGAGCTGCACAAGAAGTGTTTGCGCATCACTGTCTTCAAAGGGCTTGCGACCCCCTCACGAAGGACTTGAGCATGTCATCGTCAGCAGTTGTCCGCTTTTTTTCCTGTCAGCCAACAAATACGCATGGATCTCAGCAGACAGTAGCAGCATCCGCTTGCTTGTTAGATAGTTTTGTCCGGCCACTCTTGTCCTCAGAGTCCCTCGATGGACGGGAGGATGCGGGTATCTGTAAAGCGGCTCGGCTCTGACCTAGAGTTTACTTGCTAGTGCTTACTTAGTATGGAATTTGGGTGCATCAGGGCGCCGAGTTTTTTTTGTTTCCCTACTCAGAGCCCGGTAAGTTGAGGGTTCAGGCTAGGATTGTTGGCTAGGTACATGCTGGTGGCGTTGAAGGTTGCCAGAATCAGCGAGGTGAGGGGGTGGGGTGGGGGGTGAAGGGGGTGGGTCGGGTAGATTGAGACGCTTTACAACCAGAATGGCCCCTCTGCAACCAGAGCCCTTACTTTGCAACGAGGAACATGGTTTTTTAGTGGTAGAACGTCCACTTTGCAAGCCACATGTTTCGTTAGTTATACTGATCATGCTGCTGCTAGTTTCAGATACAAGACCCAGAGGGTCCATTTGTAGTACTATTATGGCATTAGGTACCCAAAAACCCTTCTAAATAGGCTTTGGGATACCTAATTCCATAATAGTAGTACAAATGGACCCTCTGGGAGACAATGTACACCGTGGAGAGATGACCCCCCATGTTTGCAGCGTCTCACGGAAGGAATGCTGAGGAAACACCCCCCCCCCCATGTAACAGACCACAAACATGCGGCGACATCTAGAGAAGCGCAAGCACCTCAAAAGCCAACCCAGCAAAACACACAAATGATAATGAACACACCAGAGACAAATAAGCTGAGAAAATGAAAACCAAGCGAAACAGGATGCAAACCCGGCGAAGAGCGCCAACAACTTTCAAAGCAGACTCTTGCTAACATGATATGTCCGTCTTGTATGCTGCTGAACTGAAAAACGCACACTTTAGCAGCCGAGCGACGTTTCGGATCTGCATGAAGGAAGACTTTGTAGTGTGAACAGCAAGTTGTGGAACGTGGCTAATGATAAGCTGTCATGTTTGACATGCTGGCGTGGTTGTAAAGTGGTCGTTCTGGGAACTATATGAAGTTGTGTGAAGCGGACGTTCTGGTTGCCGGTTTTAAAGAGTGCTCAATGCGGGAGTGAGGGGCGTGAGGGTGGGGAGTAATGGGGGGGGGGCCCTCCAGCCCCCACAATGCGGCGGTGCAACTTCGCAGGCACAGCACATCCTGGCTGCAAAAAACTCTGTAGGCCAGTGACTCCCGGGACCCCACTTGGAGTGGGTACTTATAACCACCAAGTATAAATGTACTTATATCCTACTTAGAAAACTTAGGGGGCTTATAAGGCACAGCTATACTTGGGGTGAGAAGCACCCTCCCTGAAGCCTTATGGAAGCTCCAAGTAAGTGCTCCTTGAGATGCCCGGTCCGACCCAAGAGATCCGAAATCGCCAGTTTAGGGGCAAGGGTTTATTTAGGGTTTAGGGTTTAGGGTTTAGGAAGTTTAGGAAGTTTAGGAGCCCTAAATCCGTAAGCCCCTCGGCCCTTCCTTGCGCCCTTGAAAAAGCCCTCAAGCCCAAACCCCAATTCAGGAATACCTTCCCTAAACCCCAAACTCCAAACCCTAAACCTTAAACCCCAAACCCTAAACCTCAAACCCTAAACCCCAAACCCTAAACCCCAAACCCTAAACCCTAAACCCCAAACCCAGGAATACCTTTATCACCTTCGATGACCCAGAGGAGCCGCAGGACCCGGGCAGGGTGGTGGGGGGGGTTAGGGTTTGGGGTTTGGGGTTTGGGGTTTAGGTTGTAGGGTTTAGGGTTTAGGGTTCAGGGTTCAGGGTTTAGGGTTTAGGGTTCAGGGCTCAGGGTCTAGGGTTTAGGGTTTAGGGTAGAAAAAAGCGCAAAAGCTGTAGATGTGCCGGTCTTCAACAGAGCCTTGAGAAGGCATCGCGCAGTCCGAAGGCCATGGAGGATCTTCAGGCTGAAGCTTCTTTGAAGGGAACCTCAGACTGCTTAAGCCCCGAACCCTAAACACACAAACCCTAAATTGATTATAGCGGGTAACCCAAACATAAGTTGAGTTCGCAGCACAGTTTTGCAAAGCTTGTGGTTATGGAGGGTAGGAAGACTAAGCTGGTGCAACATCAAGGGGATTCGATGAGACTTCCGGTACTAAGGGTATGCCTACTTGAGCACTTCCCAAGATAGGGGTATCCTTACCCTAAATGTCATATGATCCCCTACCCGTACATGATATCACCCCCTTTCAAAGCGATTCCCCAAAAGCATACCCTTAATGATCGGACACCCCTACTTAGATGGTTCATGGGTAGTTACAAGTAGGGCGCCAAGTAACCCCAAGTGTACGGTTGCCTCACATGACAGCCCTAAACCCTAAACCCTTACAACCCCAGGTACAACCCATGGACGGCTACGTAGCAGGGGACAACCCGAAACCCTAAACCCTAAACCCTAAACCCTAAACCCTAAACCCTAAACCTGTGAGAGGAGTTGGACGAACTGCCGGCCCGGACCCGACAGAGCCACGCGGTCCAACGGAGGGGAGGGTTTAGGGTTTAGGGAAGGCTTAGGCTCTTGGGGTTTAGGGTTTAGGGTTTAGGGTTTAGGGTTCAGGGTTCAGGGTTTAGGGTTTAGGGTTTGAGGGGTGGCCTTGTGGACCCTGAGGTTGGATGACTTATGGGGTTTCGGGTTGTTTAGGGTTTTTTTGTTTTTGTGGGGTTTAGGGTTTTTTGGGATTTAGGGTTGAGGGTTTTGGGTTTGTGGGTTTTAGGGTTTTTGGGGATTTGGAGTTGAGGGTTTTGGGTTTGTGGGTTTTAGGGTTTTAGGGTTTTTGGGTTTTGGGGTTGAGGGTTTGGGGGTTCAGGGCATCGGGTTCCGGGCCTGCAGGGCTTGCCGATGTGGCTTACATAGAGGGGCAGTGGCTGTGCACCTGAAAGAGCACGGATGTGTAGCGCTTCGGGCTTGCTGTTTGGACAGACGGTTCCTGCCACAAAGCTTGAGATAGCCTCCGACTTCACATCTCCTTGCACCTTGTACGCCCAAAGTAGCTCAGGGGTTTCGGGGTTCAATCTCCGAAGCCCAAGCCCCCCAAACCCTAAGCTCTAAGCCCTACGATTTGCACCCAAACTCACCTGAAGTGGAGCCGTGGTATGGATTGGGAATCTCAACCCGGCACTTGTTAGGGTTCAGGGTTTCGGGTATGCTGGAGGGGTTTGGGGTCTTTTGTGCCGATTGTTTACTACTGTTCGCTTAAGAACCCCCAAAAAATCAATAATAATCATAATAAAAACGACAAGAGACCCTATATTACCCTTCTAAGGAAGAATATTTCTATGTTTTTTTTTTTTTTTTTTGGGGGGGGGG